CCACCCCCAACAACATTCAGTCAGTTACAATAATGGAAACAGAGTTGTGGCAACACAAATTATACGATGAACATACATACATACAAAACAACTGGTTGGTTGGCGGGTGCCGTGGCCTGGTTTACCCCTTAATCTTTCTTATCCAACACTCACTGTCGTCCATACCTCTACTCGACGATTTCTTGGTACATTACTCTCTATCTAGTATTTGTAACACCTCTAATCATCGGCACTTTTATTAGGACCTATTTGTATTGCAAGCGCGGCAAAACTCTTACTCAAACTAAATACAGAACAGAAAAAACATGTAATTATGTAGTAGATGCTGTGGTGGTGAGTTTAAGCCTAAAACTGATCATGTTTTGTTTGTTTTAGTAGAGGTTTTACGGCGCTCGCAACTGCATAATGTCATATGAGCGACAAATGTTCGTGGGTGGTTGGCAGGTGCTCTGGTGTGGTTTGCTTCTTCTTTCCTATCAAACATCTATCGTCCTTATCTCCCCTTCTTCTCTTTTATGTTTGCTACTCTCTTGTAACACCTCTAATCTTCTGGCGCTCATATGACCTTATGCAGTTGCGAGCGCCGTAAAATCTCTACTAAAACTAAAAAGACAAATGTTCGGTCATCCTAAAACCTTACTAAATCTAAATATAAAAAAGAAAAAAATATATACTCATATAGTTTATTATGCTATGATGGTGAGTTTAAGCTTACTAGTGATCGTGTCAGGTAGCCCTAAAACTAAATACAAAACAGAACAAAATGTACTTACATATTACCGTATTAAAACTTTAAAAAACCACACACACACACACACAAAAAGAAAAGATGTAGGCTGCTCACATAGTAGAGGCTATCACGGTGAGTTTAAGCATACTAGGGATCGTGTTAGGTAGATCTAGCCCTAAAACTAAATACAAAACAGGAAAAAATTTACTCACATATAACTGTAATAAAACTTTCCAAAAAAAAAGAAAAAAAGATGTACTCACATAGTAGAGGATATGACGGTGAGTTCAAGCATGCTACTGATCACTTTTGGTGGTCTCTTCTCCTCTCATCTCCTCTCATCTCCTCTCATCTCATTTCATCTGTCTCTCTCTCTCTCTCTCTTTTTCTGTCTCTGTGTGTGTGTCTCTCTCTCTGTCTGTCTCTGTCTATTTCTCTCTCTAGGCATCTGTTGGTGTCAGCGCACTACAGGCCTGTTACATGTAATTTGAAACTTTTAGAAATACACGCGTAAATATTCCAGTGTTTAACATGATACTATTGATAGTGCTTCCATAACTTGGGTAGGGGTGGGGAGGCAGAGATTGGGAGGGAGAGAGAGAGATAGAGATAGATAGATAGATAGATAGAGAGAGAGAGAGAGAGA